GTCAGAGAGGTTTTTTCCTGCTTTCTCCTCTAGGGTTTTGATGGTTTCCTGTCTCACATTCAAGTCCTTTATCCATTTTGAGTTTGTTTTTGTGAATGGTGTAAGAAAGTGGTCTAGTTTCAATCTTCTGCATGTTGCTGTCCAGTTCTCCCAGCACCATTTGTTAAAGAGACTGTCTTTCTTCCATTGGATATTCTTTCATGCTTTGTCAAAGATTAGTTGACCATACTTTTGTGGGTTTAATTCTGGGGTTTCTATTCTATTCCATTGGTCTATGTGTCTGTTTTTGTGCCAATACCATGCTGTCTTGATGATTACAGCTTTGTAGTAGAGGCTAAAGTCTGGGATTGTGATGCCTCCCGCTTTGGTCTTCTTCTTCAAAATTACTTTGGCTATTCGGGGCCTTTTGTGGTTCCATACAAATTTTAGGGTTGCTTGTTCTAGCTTCAAGAAGAATGCTGGTGCAATTCTGATTGGGATTGCATTGAATGTGTAGATTGCTTTGGGTAATATTGACATTTTAACAATATTTATTCTTCCAATCCATGAGCACAGAATGTTTTTCCATTTCTTTGTGTCTTCTTCAATTTCCTTCATAAGCTTTCTATAGTTTTCAGCATACAGATCTTTGACATCTTTGGTTAGGTTTATTCCTAGGTATTTTATGATTCTTGGTGCAATTGTGAATAGGATCAGTTTATTTCTCTTTCTGTCGCTTCATTATTGGTGTATAAAAATACAACCGATTTGTGTACATTGATTTTGTACTGCAACTTTGCTGAATTCATGTATCAGTTCTAGCAGACTTTTGGTGGAGTCTGTCGGGTCTTCCATGTAGAGTATAATGTTGTCTGTGAAAAGTGAAAGTTTGACTTTATCTTTACCAATTTTGATGCCTTTTATTTCATTTTGCTGTCTTATTGCTGATGCTGGGACTTTCAACACTATGTTAAACAACAGCGGTGAGAGTGGGCATCCCTGTCGTGTTCCTGATCTCAGGGAGAAAGCTCTCAGTTTTTCCCCATTGAGGATGATATTAGCTGTGGGCTTTTCATAAATGGCTTTTATGATGTTTAAGTATGTTCCTTCTATCCCGACTTTCTCGAGGGTTTTTATTAAGAAAGGATGCTGAATTTTGGATGCTTTTTCTGCATCGATTGACAGGATCATATGGTTCTTATCTTTTCTTTTATTAATGTGATGTATCACATTGATTGATTTGTGAATGTTGAACCTGCCCTGAAGCCCAGGAATGAATCCCACTTGATCGCGGTGAATAATTTTTATATGCTGTTCAATTCGATTTGCTAGTATCTTATTGAGGATTTTTGCATCCATATTCATCAGGGATATTGGCCTATAGTTCTCTTTTTTTTTTTTGCTGGGTGTCTGTCTGGTTTGGAAATCAAAGTAATGCTGGCTTCATAGAATGAGTCCGAAAGTTTTCCTTCCATTTCTATTTTTTGGAACAACTTGAGAAGGATAGATATTAACTCTGCTTTAAATGTCTGGTAGAATTCCCCAGGGAAGCCATCTGGTCCTGGACTCTTATTTGTTGGGAGATTTTTGATAACTGATTCAATTTCTTCACTAGTTACGGGTCTGCTCAAATTTTCTATTTCTTCCAATTTGAGTTTTGGTAGTGTGTGGGTTTAGGAATTTGTCAATTTCTTCCAGGTTGTCCAGTTTGTTGGCATACAATTTTTTATAGTATTCCCTGATAATTGCTTGTATTTCTGAGAGATTGGTTGTAATAAATCCATTTTCATTCATTTTTTTATCTATTTGGGTCCTCTCTCTTTTCTTTTTAAGAAGCCTGGCTAGAGGTTTATCAATTTTGTTTATTTTTTCAAAAATCCAACTCATGGTTTCATTGATCTGTTCTACTGGGTTTTTTTATTCTATATTGTTTATTTCTGCTCTGATCTTTATTATTTCTCTTCTTGTGCTGGGTTTGGGGTGTCTTTGCTGTTCTGCTTCTAGTTCCTTTAGGTATGCTGTTAGATTTTGTACTTGGGATGTTTCTTGTTTCTTAAGATAGGCCTGGATTACAATATATTTTCCTCTCAGGACTGCCTTTGCTGCATCCCAAAGGGTTTGGATTATTGTATTTTCATTTTCATTTGTTTCCATATATTTTTAAATTTCTTCTCTAATTGCCTGGTTGACCCACTCATTCTTTAGTAGGATGTTCTTTAACCTCCATGCTTTTGGAAGTTTTCCAGACTTTTTCCTGTGGTTGATTTCAAGCTTCATAGCATTGTGGTCCAAAAGTGTGTGTGGTATGATCTCAGTTCTTTTATATTTATCAAGGGCTGTTTTGTGACCCAGTATGTGATCTGTCTTGGAGAATGTTCCATGTGCACTCAAGAAGAAAGTATATTCTGCTGCTTTGGGATGCAGAGTTGTAAACATATCTGTCAAATCCATCTGGTGCAATGTATCGTTCAGGGCCCTTGTTTCTATATTTATTCTCTGTCTAGATGATCTGTCCATTGTTGTAAGTGGAGTATTAAAGTCCCCTGCAGTTACCACATTCTTGTCAATAAGATTGCTTATGTTTGTGATTGTTTTATATATTTGGGTGCTCCTGAATTCAGTGCATAGACATTTATAATTGTTAGCTCTTCCTGATGGATAGACCCTGTAATTGTTATATAATGCTCTTCATCATCTCTTGTTACAGCCTTTAATTTAAAGTCTAGTTTGTCTAATATAAGTATGGCTACTCCAGCTTTCTTTTGACTTCCAGTAGCATGATAGATAGTTCTCCATCCCCTCACTTTCAATCTGAAGGTGTCCTCAGGTCTAAAATGAGTCTCTTGTTGACAGCAAATAGACGGGTCTTGTTTTTTTATCCATTCTGATACCCTATGTCTTTTGATTGGCACATTCAGTCCATTTACATCCAGTGTTATTATTGAAAGATATGGGTTTAGAGTCATTGTGATGTCTGTAGGTTTCATGCTTGTAGTGGTGTCTGTGGTACTTTGTGGTCCTTGTAACATTTCACTCACAGAATCCCCCTTAGGATCTCTTGTAGGGCTGGTTTAGTGGTGATGAATTCCAAGAAGAAAAATGATTAATCAGGATAAAACAAACAGAAGCATTTGCAGAATCTATATGAAAACCCTTCTTGCATTATTCTTTGAAACCAGGTGCTCTGACTATGAGCTAGAGTACCTGGGATTGTGAAGGATCTTGTAATAACATGTATCTTCATATTCTTTTTCTCAGGCTCTTGCACAATGCCTGAAAACTGGCAGATGTGTGATCAATGTCTTTCAAGTAAATGGAAGGGTTGTTGATTCACCTGTATGAATAGGACCTTTTGCCAGTTGATCCGAGGTCGATCACTCTTCTGACTTTATTGGGCTTTTCCAAAGGAAAACCACAACAATCATCTGTCTCAATCACCACAGTAATAACAGTTATAGTACTAGCAGCTGGTATTAATTGAGCACTTACTGTGTGCCAAATACTATGGAATCTTAACATGGATAATTTCAGTTAACTTCACAAATTATCCCCACTTTACAGATTAGGAACTTGAAGTTTAAGACACCCAGTAACTTGCCTACATAACTTGTTAAAGCATTACCTGAAGGAGCCAAGATGGAAGCACAGAAACCATATACTACATAAGGTATACTGCTAGCAACTAATCAACACCACTAGGCTCATGGTCATTGACTCATTACTGGTGACACTGATGTCCACCGAGTAGCTCTTCCTACTCCAGGCACGCAGCAGCAGATTCCGACTGCTGGCTGAGAGGAACGCCAGCCCTTTGGATTGTGGAGGAGCATGGCAGGCATCTCAATGTTGTCACCTGCCCCTGGAAGTCGCCATGACAACATGCTTGGAGTCTTTCTTGGTGCACTCCGGCCTGGTGTTAAGTACAAGCTTCTTTACTCCTTATGGATCCCAAAAAACCAAACCTTCAATGACAGTGCCTGTTGGTAACTGGCTTCCTGTAATGTACCTGGAGAGCAGGCTCCACCTAAGTCTTAAAGATAAACCCTTGTGATGGATTTGTAAGTTGTTGGCTAAAGGTCTAAACTCAAATCTAGTTGTACCTCCTCAGTAAAGCCTTTTCTGGCCCCCCACCAAGTCTAAGTTATTTCTTTCCACTCCCCAATTCCTTGGTACTCTATCTGTAAGTCCTTTTCAGTTAATTTCCTACTCAGGACTTAAGAGGAAAGTTGCTATTAAACATGGCAAGCATTCAAATAAAAAAAACTTCAAATAACTGCATCAAAACGCCAGTTCATGTAATTTTTAGATCCAGTGAGAAAAATCCCGTTTTTCTGGAAAAGGCTACTAATATTTAAGAATGCAGCTGGCTCCTGATCTTATTTCCCCCTGGTAAAGGGAACAATAACAGCTTGCGAAAGCTATGGGAAAGGGCGCGTGTGTGTTCTGCTTCTGCTTTTCCCAGATGTCAGTTACTGAAGGTTTAAGACACAAATCCTATGCCGACTGTTCCTCAGTGGCAGTCCCCATTCAAAGAGGCATTGGGAAGGCTGGTGGGACAGCTCACACGGGGACATCCTGTGCATCCGTGTGCATTTAATTCAAATACTGACCTCATTTTATAGCAACCCTAACATGTCATTCTAATGTATTGGTAAAGATGAGAAAATGGGATGTGAGTTTTATCTAGATTCACGGGCATGGATAGTATCAGCAAGATTTGCGGGGCCCTGCAGAGGGCTAGCAATGCTTATTAAATAACTGCCGTAGGTGCTGTATCATAAATGAGAAGCCAAGGGTGTCCGTTAAAGTCTGCAGGTGAATTCTCATCTGGGGAGCGCAGGTTACTGGGCAGTGATTGAAGTGTCCAGCAGGGGGCTGGCATTCTCTGTCTGTACTTAGCCCTGGTTCCTCTTCAGAGCCTCAGCTCAGCAGAGCTGCTGTTTGCTGGTTAAGTCAGTGACGTGCACAGCATCCTGCCTATAGGATTTGAGGCTTTCTCTGTGCAGTTTTTTTTCTACCCACTTTAAACCTTCAGGTTCTAAATATCAGGAAAGATAGGAAATGCCGTATGAAAATAGCCGGCCAAAAGTTCTTTGTAAACTGCAGCCAGGGAGACTCAGACTAGAATGGAGGTAGAAAGGGTTGGTACAGAGTGGGTTTAATTCTGAGCCCTTTCTGGCCGAATTTTTGTTGTTTTGTTGTTAACTTACTGAATAGAGACATGTAGTACATTGGTCAAGTGAAGACCACGGCAGCACCAGCGTCAAAATAGTGCCAGACAGTTCTGAATGCTATAGTGTATATGTACTCTATTTTTATTAAAGAAGATAAAGAGCCCAGCATAGATTTTTATCCTCATCTTCACCCAGCTGCAAAATCAAAGTTAAGCAACAGCATCTAAGAGCACTTTTCAGGTGGGAAAGAATCTAGAGGATGGCTCTAAGTGATTGTTTGCTTTTGAACTTGGAAGTGGACCACTTCTTGCACTGCAACATCTCCAGTCACAGTGCAGATGTCCCCATGAACGACGACTGGTTCCACCCGGGGATCCTGTATGTCATCCCTGCAATCTATGGGGTCATCATTCTGATAGGCCTCATCGGCAACATCACGCTGATCAAGATCTTCTGTACTGTGAAGGCCATGCGAAATGTGCCGAACCTGTTCATCTCCAGTCTGGCGTTGGGAGATCTGCTCCTCTTGGTAACATGTGCTCCCGTGGATGCCAGCAGGTACCTGGCCGACAGATGGCTGTTTGGCAGGATTGGCTGCAAGCTGATCCCCTTTATACAGCTCACCTCAGTGGGGGTGTCTGTCTTCACCCTCACGGCTCTCTCGGCGGACAGGTAAGTTCTGGAGGAAAGTCACATTCTCTCTGAGGGTGATAGATGCCTTGGTAAATGAGCCACCACCTTGGGGCAGACAGAGCTGCTTGCACAAAGGGAAGTTCTACTCACACTCCGATTCCCTCCCAGGAATGTTTTTCTTTTGGAGATTACTTCTCGAGTTTGACATACTGGTTTAAGAAAGAAAAGTGAGTGAGTGGTGGGACAGAAGGGGACAAATGAGAAAAAAAATAATCTGAGCGTAAGATTGACATTCATTTTCAGGAGACAAATCGATTTAGTGTTGCTTTTTCCTAATTTCTCCCTCCCTGCAAAATTAATTGAGTGGTGAGAAGAAAAAAAAAAAGTCACACCTAATAGAGTTTACACCCCAGGCAAATGTTTCTTAGAAGCAATTCAACGTCATCAGAGAACAGAAAAGTCTCACTGAATTTCTTCCTCAAAATAGGCTTTCAGAAATAAACAAGAGGAGAAAATAAGCAGCATTTCCTTGAAATTTATTTTCCTCAGACTATTTAACTTTCGTCACAGCTGATTTTGTATTTGGCTCTCTTTGTAACCAGAGAGCTGGTTTTTCTAAGTATCTGTTTAGTGAAATAAGCATGATGTGGATTTTTTTTCTCCTTGAGAAAGCTCCATTCAAGTCTGATTTTGAATTTTAATATCTTTAGTGATGTACTTCCATATACGGTGCCTTTGGGTTTTTTTTTTCAGTGGGGGGAGGGAGTCCAGTGCTTTATTCTGGGAAATACTCATATCTGTGAACTGCATTTCTTGTGTGCACATGTTGCTTTCAAATTCACATGTATTCATTCTTAAAGATTCATCATCAGTCTTTGAACATTTACCGAGCATCTATTCTGTAAACAACTCTTGCTTGAATGAACCAGTCAGGAAATATCTGCAGGTTGTTCACACGTGTGGCTGCATATATCTTACATACCTCTGAGCTCTAGAAATCGGACCCAGTGATGGATAGACTCCAGAAACATCATGGAGCATATGGTCAAATGAAGAAAAACCGGAACATTGAGCCAGAGCCTATACATTTTTATTTTAAAATCCACGGGATGATATGGTGTTAAAGATACACACGGATTTGAGAGTGTACCAGGAAAGACAGAGAAGCAGCTCTTGAAAGTTTATACTCTGAAGAGAATGTCCTACATTTTAATACATACGATAATGGATTCTCATTTTGTAGAGGAACAAACAGTCCCCAGGTGATCTGGCTTTGTCAAGTAATGGACAAATAAAGATAGTGTTATCAGTATTTGTAGACATGTGTTTAGACTTAGCTGCCTGAAGTACCCTGTTCATTTTCAAAGGTGGAAAAATAACAGCCCAGAGACAAGGTTTGTACATCGGACTGGCCAGACAGGGTTTCTCCGTTCCCGCCGCTCACGTCCAGCTTGCTCTAACCTGAGCGTTTGCCCACCAGGTGCTAATGGCCACAGGCAGTTTCACACGTTGATCCAGGGGCAGGCAAACTCCCCAGCCGTTGATCCAGGGGCAGGCAAACTCCCCAGCCGGCAGAAGGTCTGTGTCTCATGACCAATGGCCCAGGGCACCTCGGGATGAGGGCCATTTTCTTGACGGAAAGAGGAGATTTTGCATTCTGGGTTGGTGGGTGCGGAGGTGTTGGGGGGGGGTGGGCAGGGAGAAAAGTGAGGGCGTGGAATGTACAAATTCAGCTGCAGGGAGCTTTCGAAGCAGACCGTCGGCAGAAAGGCTCTTTCAAAAGCTGGTTTGCACCCTTTGGCAGCTCTAGTGTGCTCTCAGCAACTTTACAGTTACTGTGTGTCCAAGTTCGGAAATTTCCAATTTCCAAGTTCAGAAATTACCATAAGCTTCCGTGTAACTAACTTTTTGTGCTTTGGTAAAGGCTTGAGAAAGCTGATGGCTCACCTGAATCACAGGTACTGCATCTAACCAATTTCAACAAGAATAAGTATTGAGCTAGTTAAATAATATAAAACTATACTTGTCTATCTCGTTTTAAAAAGCTATTGGAGTCTTATGATAACGTCATGAGGTTGGCAGGGCAAACACACACACACAGTCTCTATTTTTTCTCAACAAGGTATGATCTATATACAGTAAAGTGAACAAGTGTATAGCTCAGTGTATTTGCACTGTCTTCATAGCAACGTAACCACCACCCGGCTGGAAATATAGAATATCTGGCACCCCGGGAGTTTCTTTTCTGTCTCTTTCCAGTTAATACCCACCCCCAGAGAGAGGCAATCACTATTCTGAATTCAGTTAACATAGATTATTTTTGCCGGTTCGTTAATCTCATATAAATAGAATCATACTTCTTATGCTTCTCATGTCTGTGAGAGTCATCTATGTTGGTGCACATAGCAATGGTTTGTTCTTTTTAATTCTTGTGTGGTATTCCACCGTATGAATATATCTCGGTTTGTATATCCATTCTAATACTGATGGACATTGGGTTGTTTCCAGTTGGGGGCTGCTAATAGCCTACTCTGGATATTCTTATTCATGCCTTTTGGGGTACATGTGTGTTTCTTTCTCTTGGGTCTCAGCCTGGGAATGGAGTCACTGGATCACTGGTGGCATATATTTAGTAAATATCATCAAAGAGTTTTCTAAAGTGCTAGTCTGTATTTGACAGGTTGGTAAAAGGATGAACCAGAGGACCCTCCACACTGGATGATCATCACCAATCATTGGGGAGCTCAAAAAACATACAGCTTCTTGGCTGCTACCCTAAATCTACTCAATCAGGGTTTCTGAGGTGTGAATGGGCATAGTGATAATCATCCGTCCCCGCCCCCTGTAGGCTCACCAGCAGTGCCAGCACTCGTTCCAATCTCCCTTCTACAGTCCTCCCTTCCCCCAGGCAAACTGGAATCTTTGTTAATATGAAAGGAATAACAGTTTTCTGGAAAAGTTGATACTGCTGCCACTGTGTCAAAGGGAGACTTCAAGGCAGTCCCAGAAACCAGAATTCTGGGTTTCACACAGCTGACCATTTGCAGATTTGCATTCAGGCCCCTTTACTTTTGGTCCCTGCCCTACCTCTCCTTTCATGGTTTTTTCCCCTTACACATGCACCTGGTGGTTAAACTGACGAGTTCCTCGCTCTGCTTCCTTGCTTATGGTTTTGTGCACATTCTCCAGAATGCTTTCTCCTTTCCTACATAGAAGATTCTACTCCCCGTGTGATGTATGGGCTGGGAATGGGTGTCAACAGTCCTGCCTTTTAGGCTTTTTGCTGCCATTACTGCCCATTTCAGGGAGTCGGACCAAGTCACTAACACTCTGACCTTAGTTGAATCATCTGTAAAGTAATAGAGTTGAGCTAGATTATTTCTAAGGTCTCTCCAAAGTTTTTCAATTCTGTCATCTTGCCTATCACTTGGAATTTGGCAAGCTTCCCCCTTAAAGCCCTAAGTGGGACCATTCTAGCCCAAAGTTCCTGACCCTACTCTAAACACAAAGTTCATCATCTGAGACATAAACTATCTTGTGACTTCTTTCATCTTCCTCTTTTGAAGTATTTCACTCATTTGTCTTTTTTTAGCCTCTTATATATTCATTGCTTTAACTTTTCAAGTAGATTATTAAGGATGCTGAGGGCAGAGATTTCTTACACATCCTTATATCTTCCACAGTACCTCACATGGTTCTTTACACCAGATGTATGATCAGTAACTATTGGTTAATTAAAATTATGGTTAATTAATGCACACTTTTCTTCTCATTCTTATTATTCTTGTCTTTTGGAATTCATCTGAAAGCATACTCCTTAAAATGTTTAAAAACACGGTCACCGGCTTCTTACCTCTTCCTCTCTACTAAGCTGTCATTGTTTGAGTAAATGAGAGAAAAACCTTTCTTTCTGATTCTATAAATAGATTTGGGGGATGAAGAGATGGGTGGATGGATGGACAGATGAACAGACAGGTGAATGGCTGAGTGGATGGGCAGATGGATGGACAGTGGTTGGATGGATGGATGTATTTTTCTGCATACTGCTCTTTCCTATCAGATGCCCATTTCTGTACTAGGCACGTCAGTATTATGCACATGGAATTTAAGACGTGAATTGGACCCTCAACAGGAGAAGGATGAGGAGAGTTTGTGTTTTCTTTTCCAGTAAATGTAAAGTTTAAAGCTATATTTAATGTTGACAGCATATAATGCCCACGTTATATTGTGCCTGCTTCAGTATTATTTTTCAGTGCTATTTCTGCTAGAATGGAGCTGGCAGAATGAATCCTAAGGGTAGATGTATACAGGAGTTCCAGTGTAATTGTGATCCTTCTTTGATCCCATGGAAAAGACCGTTCATAAGTTTCCCCCTCCCTTGTGATTTGGAATGTGGAAAGAAACAGGGAAGTGTTGCATTTATGCAAACGTCTTGAAGTACAGATTCTTCGCATTCATTGCAATGAATTTATGAGATAATGTAGTTTTCAACCTTTCCTGATATCTCAAGTCACATGGTCGAACATGTTAGCCACTAATCACAGTGGTTATTTAAATTTAAATCTAATTTAAATAAAACTAAAAATTCAGCTCCCTAGTCACACCAGCCACGTGTGAAAGGCTCAGTAGCCACATGTGACTCTACTGGACAGTGCAGATACAGAACATTTCCATCACTGCAGAAAGTTCTCTTGGAAAGAAGAGAGTTTGCTCTATGTCTTGGGGTCCAAATCTCCTTTCCAAGATCCATGCTAGCTGATCTCTCTCATTGAGAGTATCAGGGATTCCTCAGATGGGCAATTATCAAATGCCTCCTAGCTAGCTTACTAGCTCCTCTAGTAAGAGGACACTAACCACAGCTTGGGTGATGTTTGAGCAGCAACAAGTAGAAGTCATCTTGAAATTCAAACCCTTGTTTGACAGAGACCGAAAGATGGAATTTGGCCTTATCACAACAGGTTCAGAGTACAGTCAGACTATAATCCTGGCTTTCCTCGTTCTAAGTCCCAGTTCCTTCGGGGAAAATGGAACCTTTTCTTCAGAAACCATCAAAACACAGAGTCTGATTCCATTTCCCTTCCCTGGACAACGGGAGCTACTGATCTCAAACCCTACTATTCTGAGGGAAGATAACCTGAGTGACTCCACGGTGGTGCCCTTCTGAGGGGATCCAAACGCTCCACTAATGTTCTAGAGGCCCAGCCTCACGGATTCCAGGGACATTGGCCTTTTTTTACACAAGAGAAGAAAATTTAATTTCTTGCAAAGCATCTTTTCCAGAAAGTCCCTCTGTTGGGGTTTACATGAGCCAGCAGTCCATAACTTCTCCACAGTATGACTTTTCTGAAGCATACACTGCCTCTCTGGAAAGAAGATTCAACTTGTGTGTTCCCACAGTGACAGATCTGTGGCGTCTCCTGGCAGACTCTGGAGTGCCCGGGGCAGATGCAAGGCTCTTTCAACTGGAGTGCTGCAGATAGAAGGGCAAAAAAGAATTTTGACCTTGTCTCTTACATGTTATCTTTTAAAGTGTTAGACTTTTATGTGATTAATTATTATTTCTGGCAACTCAATATGAATGGAGGAAAAAAAAAAAAAAAAAAAAGAAAAGAAAAAGCACAAACTTGATCACGAAACATACTGCATAGCCTGAAAGGGCTTCCTGGTGAGGTTTTTTTGAACTGTACTTGTCAATAACATTCTTTGAAAATAGACTAAATTAGCATTTTTGCACTTGTAAATCCTCCTGGTATGTAGGGTTTGCATAAATTCTCTCTTAATTAAAACACATGTTTTGCAGAATAAAAGAAAAAATTTCTCCATTCCTTTCTACCTACGTAATCGAACAAGGGATTCTGTTTACTACAGTCAACTTTGAAATTCTGCTGATTAGTATCTGATATTTGCTGCTACTTGAAAAGATCTGATTTGCCTAGGAACCTCTAAGAGGCTGCTGGTTCATTTTACACATTAAACATCAGTTTCTATAGGAGGTCTTCATTGGTCACTCAGTCTAAAGGAATGACCAATGCTATTCCATCATCCAGTTTCTTTTTTGGGGTTGACTGAGGTGTAACTCACAAACAGTAAACTTTTAGGTGTACATTTCTCTGAATTTTGACAAACTTACACACCACCAGCACTACAGTCTAGATGTAGAACATTTCCATCACACCCAGATACTCTCCTGTATCTGTGTGGTCTACCCCCTTCCTTCCTCCACCCTCAGCTCCTGGAAATGACTGATCTTTTCCAAAATATCATATAAATGACATTATACAGTGTATAGTTGTTTAAGTCTGGCTTCTTGCAACTCATGTTGTTGCATGTATCAGTAGCTCATCCCTTTTTTTTTTTAAGTTTATTTATTTATTTTGAGAGAGAGAGCAGGAGAGAAAGAGAGAGAGAGAGAGAGAGAGAGAGAATCCCAAGTAGGCTCTGTGATGTCAGTGTGGAGGCTGACATGGGCTTGAACCCATGAACTGTGAGATCATGACCTAAGCTGAAACCAAGAGTCAGACACTCAACAGACTGGGCCACCCAGGCACCCCCATTCCTTTTTATTGCTGAGGTAGTATTAAACTGCATGGATATACCACAGTTTGTTTATCCCTTCTTCAGTCAATGGGCATTAGGATTGTTTTCAGTTTTGGGTGATTATGAATTGAGGTATGTCTTCATTTCTCTTAGGTAAATATCATCCAGTATTATTTTCTTGAGAATTATTTTGTTCATTTATTTGCTTACTTGTTTATTGTCTATCTTCTACCACTAGAAATATAACCCCCGCACAAAATGGGAGGCTATCTCATTCACTGGCATATTCTCTGATACTAAAACAGTCCCTAACCTGTAGTAGATGCTTGATAAGTGTTTGTTGAATACCTGAGTGGATGGAAAATGAAGGAAGGAATAAAGAAATGAATGAATTCTGGTAGGTCTTACTCAGAGAACCAGAAATGCTGGATTATGGTTTGTGAATCATGTTCATTCCCTTTGATGGTTAACAAATGACTGCAGTAGAACAGTTATTCTAACTCTAGATGACAAGACCTTATCCAGGTTTTATGGGAACTGTTTGGAGGATGGTTTTTTTTTTTTTTTAATTTTTTTTTTCAACGTTTATTTATTTTTGGGACAGAGAGAGACAGAGCATGAACGGGGGAGGGGCAGAGAGAGAGGGAGACACAGAATCGGAAACAGGCTCCAGGGTCTGAGCCATCAGCCCAGAGCCTGACGCGGGGCTCGAACTCACGGACCGTGAGATCGTGACCTGGCTGAAGTTGGACGCCTAACCGACTGCGCCACCCAGGCGCCCCTGGAGGATGGTTTTTAAGAAAAAACAAGTAAAATTATGAACAAAAAGTTAAGTAGAGCAGTGAATGTTTGAAAATATTTAGAAACATGTTAGATTTGGAAATCACAGTGTTACAAATTTAAATAAGTTGATAAACTCAACAAACATCACAAAATCCAGAAAACATAATATCTATTAATTAACTGCCTGATACATGTCCATCACACTTCTTTTCTCAGATATTTTGACTTCATCCTCATTTGTCTCCTTTTAAAATCACAATGGTTTGGTGATATTCTTTCCTTTTTTTTTTTTTTTTTTAAGTCTATTTATCTATTTTGAGAGAGAGAGAGCACGCACGCATGAGCAGGGGAATGGCAGAGAGACAGGGAGAGAATCCCAAGCAGGCCCCATGTTGTCAGCACAGAGCTCCACCTGGGGCTCAATCCCACGAACGGTGAGATCATCACCTGAGCTGAAACCAACGAGTTGGACACTTAACTGACTGATCCACCCAGGCGCCCCAGTGATAATCTTTTCTATAGAGAAATTAGAAAGACAAGTCAGACTTGTCACATGGTTGATTAAAATTGACTTTTTAAAAAAATTTTTTTGTAATGTTTTTATTTTATTTTTGAGAGAGAGAGCACTAGCTGTGTAAGGGCAGAGAGAGAGGGAGACACAGAATCCAAAGCAGGCTCCAGGCTCTGAGCTGTCAGCACAGAGCCCGATGTGGGGCTCAAGCTCACGAACTGCGAGATCATGACCTGAGCCGAAGTTGTCCACTCAACTGACTGAGCCACCCAGGCGCCCTGTAAAATTGACTTACTATTAATGAGAGATTAGAAAAGTTTCTGGGTGCCTCGGTGGCTCAGTCAGTTGAGCATCTGACTCTTGATTTTGGCTCAGGTCATGATTTCATGGTTTGTGGGTTTAAGCCCCACAGTGGGCTCTGCGCTGACCCTGTGGAGCCTGCTCGGGATTCTTGCTCTCCTCTCTCTGCCCCTCTCCCCTTTTCTCAAAATAAATAAGCAAACATTAAAAAAAGATAAAAGTTTATTTCAGCTCCATAACTCATTACTGGTTATGTCATGTATGTTTAGATTATTATAAAATGTTTAAAACTATTTGAGAAAGTCAGTATCAAATTTCTTTCCTATATGGGCCATACAGTTTCACAGTATTTAAAGTTTTGTGCCTTGAGTAATCTTATATACTCATTTAATTGATGATCCCCATTAACCTATTTGCCATGAATGCCTTTGTATTATGTTTTAAATTTTCTTCATCCATGTTGGTATTTTGTGGGTATGCATAACATGTGTGACTTTAAACAAATGTCTTTGCTCTTTGTAATTTGGCTACAGGTTTCTGTTCTATGAACACAGACACTGATAAATTTGACTTTGCTGATGTATCAGGATTTAAATCTACCTTGTTATTTGTTTTTTATTGGTCTCACCTGTTTCATTATCCTTTTTCCTTTCTTGCCTTCTTTTAAATTAATGAAATATTTTAATTATTCTACCCCTCCCCATAAGTTGAATTACATAAACTCTTCTTAGCATTCTTTTAGGAGCTACCCTACAGTTTACAACATGTATCCTTGACTTATTCGAATTTGCTATAAATTAGTACTTTCCCACTTCCTGGAGAATTCAGTGATCGCAACCCAGGGACACTTTTTTTTTACCCCCCCCCCCCCTTTGGGGGGGGGGGGGAAGGACTATTTCTATTTTATATTTTAATTCTCTTTGTATTTTAAAACCCACAACTCATTATGTTTACTGTTTTACATACTTTTTGTTAGTTTTTTTACATTTACTCACATATTTATCTTTAAATTTAAATTTATTCCTATATTTACCTTTTCTGTTGCTATTTCTTCCTGCATCTCTGTGACTTCATCTGAGATCATTTTACTTCGGTCCAAAGAATGCTTTTCAATGTTTCACTCAGTGTTAAATCTAATGGGGATACATTTTCTATTTTTGTGTGTGAAAATGCCTTTATTTGATGTAATCTGGGGAGGATATTTTCACTGGGCATAGAATTCTAAACCGGCAGTTCTCTTTCACACTTTGAAGTTGCCATTTATTGTATTCTGATTTCTACTGTGATGACAGATGTCGGTTTTGTTGTTGCTTTTCAAAATTATTGATTTTTCTTTGACTGATTTGAAGATTTTTTCCCGTATCTTTGGTTTTCAGCAGCATTGCTGTGATGCACTTAAGTGGTTTTCTTTGTATTTTTCCTGCTTGAGATTCATAGCTTTACTTAAATCTGTGGCTTGAAGTTTTAGCCAGTTTTGTAAAGTTCTCAACCATTACAACTTCAAATATTGCTTCTGTCTCATTCTCTTTTTCCTCTCCTTTTTTAGGCTGTCTTCATATAAATAGGATACTGTAGGTTAACTTCAAGCTTTTCAAGTTTTCTTCCTCCTTTGGTTGTTTTTGCTTTTATTGAGGCAGAAAATTTCATACTAGGGTCAGGCCTCAGTTACTGGGAACTATTTTAATCACATTTTCGTTTCACCGTCTCACCATGTCCCATAAATCTCCTTCTCCTTTTTCCTTATTTTCCAGCCTTTTTTCTCACTGTACTTCAGTCTGGCCATTTTCAGCTCACAAACCCTCTCTTCAGCTGTGTCTAGTCTGCTTCTGAAGCTTCCATTTAATTATTAACTTCAATTTGGGTATATTGCAATTCTAGAATTTCCATTTTAATTTCTTGAATTAGTCCCAGTATATTTTGAAATCCCTCTCTGGTAACTCTATAAGCCTGTTTCTATTACTGATTTTCTTCTCCTGTGTTTTGGCCATCTTGTTTTGCCTCCTGGTATATGAGGCAATTTTGTTTGACTACCTGATTTTGTATATAATGAATTGTAAATAATTTGAGGCTCTGGATGTTATTATCATCCAGAAAAGATTAGCTCTTGATTCTTGCAGGCAGTTAGGTGGCAGTATACCTGACCCAACTGGGGACCGTGCAGATTGGAGGCTGAGCTTTGGTCTTTGTGAGAATTGGTTCATCCCTCCTCCTGGGGTCTACCCCTTTGGGAATCTGAACTGAAATCCTGGGGTGTTTACCTGGCCTCCTCTCCTTGGTGGCCCTTGTACTCCATTTATTGACCTCCTTCCTTCTAAAACTGCTGGAAGCTCCACTCAGCTTTATGTCTCTGCTGCTGATTGAAACTTAACAAATGCTTTAAGGGGAAAATGATGCTGAACAATAGCTTCATTCCTTTACCCTCCTCTCCAGGATTTTGGCCCCTTGAATCCTTACTGCCTTGGTATTTCTCTGATGTTTTCAAAGAGATTTTCTAACTTTTATGTTAGGAGAGTTGCTCAGCAACAAGCTAGTCTGCTGTTATCAGAGGTGGAAAATCCCATACCACCTCTCTTAAAGACCTGGTCTGCTGCCCTCAAAACTCTCCGTATCCCAGTTCCTCTAAAGAAGAGTACAGAACTCCCTAGCCAGACCTGTAGGATCAGCATTCATAGCCTCAAATTAACTCAGCAATTTAGATTCAGAGAAGTGAGCTCTGGCTAACTTCAAAGTGAGTAAGTGAGGAGTCTCAGCTGAGGCCTGCAGCAGTGGGCCCTGCCAAATATTGTAGGGACATCAAAGCCTCTGGGATCTTTCAACCATGCCAGGACTCTTAGCCCCAATATGCGGGAGCTAGAGCCAACATTTAGTTATGCAGTGATTGAGAACAGCTAAAATTTCGTGGGAAGGCAAGAGCCAAAATGTTCCTAGGTACATTTCTTTAAACTTCACTTCTTTATTACTTTTTCTTTTTCTTTCTTTTTTTCTTTTCTTCTTCTTTTTTTTTTTTTTTTCTTTTTTGGTATTGTACGCAGACCAATTGGCCAGTGGTAATAGGAAAGAGGTAGGGAGAAAATGCGAAGTGCAGCACATAAAGACATTTATTTCCAGTGTGAGAAGAACTTATTGTGACAATAATAATATGTCCATGTGACTCACTTATTTCTTTATGTTGTGTACATATAAATAGAATAACTACAGGTTAACTTCAAGCTTTTCACGATTTCTTTTTTTCCCATTGGTGGTGTTCTTTGTTTGTTTTGTGTTGTTTTGTTTATCAGGCAGTTTCATACCAGGGTCAGGCCTCTGTTATGAGAAATACGTTAAACACACAAAAAACAATACAAAATTGATGTAAAAACAAAATTACGGTTGTTTCTCCATGAGAGCATATGGGAAACGCTTGTCTCTTTAGAAAGAAATGGCAATCAAAACAGATTTTTAAGAATTTCATTATTTTCTTTTCCCTTTCCACGTTAAATGATTGGCAACACCACAGGAGAACAGGAAAATCAGAATTTGGCATCTTTTCTTTCCTAGCTTGTCAGCAGAGGTGAAATTAAAGGTTAAAATGATGGTTTGAGGAAAACATGTCATATGGGATGAAGAGAAGTGTAGTAAATATTTAGTTTATATTCAGTAAAGCATCCTTTACTGGTGCTTTAAAAAGACCTGAGACTCTGAAGTGCTATAGTCAAGTATAACTAACTTGGGGATCCAGAGACCCAGGTTCTAGTCTTGGTTCTCAGCTAACCAACCATGGGACCTCTGTGGGCACTAGTTTCCTCTTCCATATGTGAAGGAAATGGGACTTGATGACTCCTAAGTTTTCTATTCCATAATTATGTAGAAAACAGCTTCGTCCTTAAACATGTACTCATATGTCTGACCATGATAAAAGCACTTCATAGACTGACCCAGCATTGTCTATTCTGAGAGTGCCTCACAAAGGGGAATGTAATAGGTAAATATCATTCTATTGTTCTTTGAGGGCTTTACCTGGGTATAGCCTGCTTCCCCAACCAGAATTTTAAATCCTTAATGGTCACGGACTTTTATATCCATAGTGTCAGGCAGAGCCTGAGATACTAAATCCGTACTTACCTTGCTGATAAGGTCACTAAGCATCCTAAACAATGAGTGTTTGATACTGGAAAACCAACAGCAAAGGTCAGTGGCCTATTGTCATTATCACAAATTAATAAGCCTAACAGGCAGAGTGCCATGCGAAATGGGAGACAGGCTCTCTCCTCCATTTAAAGAAGGAACCAACAATTTTGGTATGAACAGGCAAGAGAACAACAGAATGCTAGCCATGTTCACACATTCAGTGCACATAGGCCAGGTGCCAGTAAACATTTTTTGTCAAGGGCCAGATAATATTTTCAGCTTTGTGGGCCATAAGGTCTCTGTTGGAACCACTCAACCGGCCATTATAGCATGAAAGCAGCCATAGGTATTATGTAATTAAATGGGCATAGCTGTGTTCCAGTAAAAACCTATTTATTGACACTGAAATTTGAATTTCATGTACTTTTCACATGTCACAAAATGTGATTCTTCTTTCTTTTTCAAGTTTATTTATTTATTTTGAGAGAGAGAGAGACAGAGAGAGAGAGCAGGTGGTGGAGGGGCAGAGAGAGAGGGGCAGAGACAATCTCAAGCAGGCTGCACACAGGTAGCACAGATGTGGGGCTCAAAATCACCAACTGTGAGATCCTGACCTGAGCCGAAACCAAGAGTGGGATGCTCAACCAACTGAGCTACTCAGGCACTCCTGATTTTTCTTTTGATTTTTTTCCCCAACCATTTAAAATATAAAAACTAGGGCGCCTGGGTGGCTCAGTCAGTTAAGCGTCCAAATCTTGGTTTCGGCTCGGGTCAGGATCTCACAGTTCGTGAGATCAAGCCCTGCATTGGGCTCTGCACTGACAGGGCAGAGCCCACTTGGGGTTCTCTCTCTCTCTCTCTCTCTCCCCCCTGCCTCTGCTCCTCCCCTGCTCACGTGCTCTCTTGCTCTAACAAAATAAATAAATAAACTTTATAAATAAAATGTAAAAAGTATGCTTAGCTCATGGACCGTATGAAAACAAGCAAGCAGAGGGACAGATGTGGGCAGTAGATCCTTAGTTTGCTGTCCCTGACGTAGAAGTGTGTGGGTGTTTGCTGAGGCAGTCACTCAGCAGTGGATGTTTACTATTTTTTTTTACTTGAGTAGAGTTGGCACACAATGTTACCTTAGTTTCAGGTGTACAGCTTACTGATTTGACAAGTTTAAACATTATGCTGTGTTCACCACAAGTACAGCTACCCTCTGTCCCATTACGTCACTATTACAATATCAAAGTAGGACCTAGGGGAATCCATGACCCCTGTCCAGTCAGCCAGGACAGATTTCCAAGGGGATTTAGTCAAGACAATATAATAAGAATCAGACAGCTGTGTGGTGCTTTAAAGTATGAGGCATTGTCATATCATGCACATTTGCTTTCAGATCAAAAATTGACCAAGATATGTGGTCAAACCAACCACGTATCTTTAAGATATGTGTCTTTTCCAGTGTGCCCTGGGTCCTCTGTGATACTAACAGTTGTGTAAATGAAGAAAATGAGAGAGTTTAAAATCAAGGCTGAGCTGGATTCCAGCTCACATGGATAGTGGGCACGGGGGCAGAGGCTTCCCGCTGCTCACGGAGGAGTAAAGATGTGACCAGGCTCTGCTCTTCTCACTACCTCCTCCGAATGTTTCACCGTCGCGCCTGGTGCTGCCTCCTCTAAGGTCTTTTCATGTAAGCAAGTGACTTCATGTTAAGCAAGTCCCTTTAAAAGTATTCAAAAGGGGAATTGTGCTCAGGGAGAATCATCTCCTCAGTACCTCCAGCAACTCTTCTGGGCTTGAAATGGTTAGAGAAATAGGAAGTGTTTGGGCCATAAGAGATCTCTTGGGAAAAGGCTGTTAGCACTTTTCTACTAAAATGTTTAACTGAAAAACTCATTCAAATGAACTGTCTAGACCACCTTCCTTGATGATATCTTTGCTGACTCAAAGCAAACTTTTTCAGTTGATTCTTAAGATGCCCCCAAAGTTGCATGGTGACAAACTTACAAATTTTTCTTCCCTCCTTCCGTCCCTCCCCCCTCCTTTTGCCTTCCTTCCTTCTGCTTGTTGTGGAAAAATATACATAAAATTTACTACTTTGATCATTTTGAAGTGTACAGTTCTGTGACATTAAGTACATTCACATGGTAGTGTGACCTTCACCACCATCCATCCCCAGAATTTGTTTCATCTTCCCAATCTGGAACTCTCTACCTATTAAACAGCAACTGTCCTCCCTCCCTCCCTTCCTTCTTTCTTTCATTGTATTTTTTTCTCTTTTATTAATTTTTGAAGGTCACATTTAGTGGAGCACTATTCATAGTGAAGACAAATTCAAAAGCATTGAATTTGAAAAGATGTCTGAGGGGCACCTGGGTGGCTCAGTCAGTAAGCTTCTGACTTCAGCTCCGGTCATGATCTCACAGTTTGTGAGTTTGAGCCCTGCATTGGACTCTGCACTGACAGCTCAGATCCTGGAGGCTGCTTCAGATTCTGTGTGTCCCTCTCTCTCTGCCCTTCCCCCACTCACACTCTGTCTCTCTCTCTCAAAATAAAATAAACATTAAAAGAAAAATTTGGAAAGATGTCTGAGTTTGAGCCCTGGCTCTTCTAATTGTCAACTGTGTGACTTTGGGCAAATCACTCTATAGGTCTCAGTTTTCTGATCTGTAAAATGGGGATAAGGGTATTTACTTTTAAGATATCATATAGGACTATTGTAACTTTTGAAATGGTGAAATGAAATAATGTGTTGGCTTCTTTTTGAAATGTTAGAATTCCTAGTCAAAAGAGTGAATGTAATTAGCATGACTGTTATTTAAAGTTCATAAGGTTGCTGAGAGGATGTTGAAATCTCAACCAGTTGATAATCAGTGGACAGTCCTTTCTTTTCATGAAATGCAGTAGCCTTTCATTTAGATAGTGCTTCTGGTTTTCAAAGTGCTTTTGAAACACCTCATTTAGCCCCTCCTTACAGTGAGCAAGGTTGATATCATTAGTTCCATTTCACAGATGAAGTAAACAGAGATCTGAAAATCTCATAGTTTAAGATCTGGACTCAGGACCTCTGTTCAAACCCTGGCTCTGTCACTTGGTAGCTGTGTCGCCTCGGGTGACTTACTTCACTTTTTGTGCCTCAGTTTCTCCACCTGTAAGTAGAGGATGACAGCAGTAGTACCTACTTCCTTACACTGATATAAGAGATTCAGAAAGTTAATCCGCGATAAGTGTTTAGAGCTATACCCTGAACATAGTGCTGTATAAGTTTTTCTTAAATAAAAATAAATAACATTAAAGTAAAGAAAAGGAAACTGAGACAGCACGCTATGCAAAAATAGCTAATTATCGAAGTGGATGTAGAATGCAGGGCTCCCAGTCTCCATCCCGTCCCTCTCTCTCTCTGTGGTGGGCTCCTTCACCACACGGGTATAACTCTCTAACACTGCCAGGATCAACCTTCTGGGCCAGGGGACCCAATAAGCTACAAAGCTGAGTCAACATTTCACCACGTACAAAGCCTCTCACAAAAGGTTATTTAAATATAGTGCTGTTAAATTTTTATAATTAGACACAATGACTCATGTGCCATGATGGTATTTTTGAGCTTTAATAATTCTTATTTAAAAAAAAAAGAGGGGTGCCTGGGTGGCTCAGTTGGTTGAGTGTCTGACTCTTCATTTCGGCTCAGATCATGATCTCATAGTTCCTGAATCTGAGCCCCACATCAGGCTCTGTGCTGACAGCACAGAGCCTGCTTGGGATCTTCTCTTCCTCTCTCTGTTCCTCACCCACTTGTGCTCTCTCTCTCTCTTTCTCAAAATAAATAAATAAACTTAATACAAAATTTTTTTCATTAAAAAATTTTTTTTTAATTTTTTAAATTCTATTTTTATCTCCAATAATTTGAAGTATACTTAAAAACTAATAATGTCCCTGATATTTCACTTTTTGTATATGTGCTTGAGAAACTGACAGGACCGGGAGAGGAATTTACATATCGGTCACTATTGGTGGCATACCCATATCCCTTGCACTCCCTGGAGGTCACTTACACAGCTGGGTTGGCTGTTTCTCTCTGAGTGAGAGTGATATCTGGCCATGGGAAGGTTTGGGGCAGGGGGAGCACTCCAGAGTTAACACTAGAAGACCATCCTCAACCAGAGAGGGATGGGAATCAATGGGAAACACCTCAGCTTCCTCACCCCTTGGTGGCACAGTTCTGGAATGTGCTCACCAGTCTCTCAAGGGGTCCCCAGCAGGCCTGTGCTCCAGTTGCCCGGAGTGGCACTCGTTATTGGCTTCCATTCCCTCCCTGTCCCACTTCCCTATTCCCTCCCTGTGCTTCCTGGGATCCCCTCCCAAACAAACTACTTGCGCCTAAATCCCCGTCTTAGGGTCTGTTTGGGGGTGAATGACAATTTAGGAAGACAATTTATTACCCCGAATCTACTTCACCTTCTACCCTAGAGCATGGGTGATTTTTCTCTGGCTTTGTGATTTTTCCCCACTCTCTGCTCTCTTTTGTGTTACTCAGTAGAGTAAATGCAGGTTATGTCTAACTACAGTTTGCAAGTGAGATTTATAAACATTGTTCAAACTTTTTGGCTCATAAATTGCTGAAAAAGTCTAACAAGTTATAAATATATGTTCTTCCATCCATAACATTTTTGAGGAATGGCCTCTGAACAACTTGTGCCAGGATGTTTGCACACCTACTGAAATCTAACTGGGTTACTGCTCCTTGGTCAGTTTAAACATATCCACTGGCAACTGTAATATTTCATCCTGCTTCCACCCCTTCTGACGGATTCCCTTACAGGATTAGCCCTGAGCTTCGGAATTGGTCATCCTGCTGAACCCGCTTTGGGCCCAAGGGTCAATAGTTGCCCAACTGCTTCTGCCAGAGAAGTCCAGTAATTGTCTGCTTCTCTCTTTCATTTTATACTTCAGCTTCTCCATCCCCCATATGCCAACAGTACCTGCCCTTCCGAACCTTTCCCACGACAGCGCCTCTTCCCCAGCCTAGTGCCAGCCTCTGGATTGTAGAGCTTCCCTGACGCCGTTTTCAGCTTGGTTCCAAAGTCTCATTCGGATGGCCTCTTTAGGCCCTGAGGTCTCTGAGTTTATGAGAGAGCTCGGACCTCACTCTAGGCGCAGGCCACAGGGAATGTCAGGGTGTGTATACGGCAGTGAAAGAGTCCCGAGATTCAGTGTCACAGACTCAAGGAAGAAAGGACTTTTGTGCCTGTCTGGAAACACGGTGCTTTCACCATGGACGCAGTAGGTAGGGAACAGACATTCTAATCATTTCCTTGCTTTTCTCCCTTAATTTCAATGCCAGCAAAAAGGAGCAGAATTTGCTACCCCAAAATGTGCCTCTTTGGCATGAGGATTATTTTAGGCAGATTATTTAAGAAACAGCAGGCACAGGACAAGCTCTGAAAACCCTAATCAAAGTTATCCTTTTGGTAAGAGACATTTCCATTTATAAAGGAAATTTCCATCTGTAAGGGTGTCTCTGTCTTTGTACCAGGGAGAGGATGACTCTAAATCTCTAGGAGCTCCTATCTCCTATGGAGAAGGCCAAGATTTAGATCTGCATGACAATCTTACTCTTGTTTACTATACTTTTCCTGGTTAACCTCCCATACCTGTTCCCCCATCTTCCTTTGCCTTTAACTGGAAATGGTATTTAAGATGGAGGCTTGGGTCATTTGGGGGAGTTACTCCATTTCCCTGGGCCTCTCCTATGGGTATAGGAAGCATATAGGATATTAAACTTCTATTTGTTTTTCTCCTATTAAATTGTCTTTTGTTATGGGGGAGTGGGTGGGTCTCGGCCAAGAACCTAGAACAGCAGAGAGAAAATTATTTTTCCTCCTCTACACCAGAAAGCCCAGGCTGCCTGGTCAACCACAGGATCATCATGATAGGAAGAAGCCTGCGTGGGCTCAAATCTTGTCTTCAATGCTTGGCACTAATGGCCTTGGAAAAGTTACTTTGCCTCAGTTTCTTCATCTGTAAAAGAACAATAATATTAGTACCTACTATAGAGAATTGTTATGAAGATAAAACAGTGATAATTTAAACAAAGCTCATAACATAGTTACCTGATCCATAGTAAGTCTCCCACAAGTTTTAGCTACTGTTGTTAACAGAATCAATCTAATTGAAACCCAGGTACACAATACTCTTCCTCTTCAATCTGTTGCAAGAGAGAACTTCCCACATGGTAGTTGCAAAGTAAGCCTTTGAAGAAGTAAATAGAAGTGTGGCTGCCTGCAGCCCTTGCCCCTCCAGTGGCTCCTCCATCTGCTGGAGGAATAAACAAAACTTGTTTATTGGAATAAACAAAAGAGATCCTTCTTTCTACAATCAGAGGTCGGACTTTCCATGCGGGGAAAGTGATCGCATTGACGTCAAGCCAAACTACAGAGGGAATGACTGCTATGCACGCCCCTCCCCAAAGCAGGGTTTGCTCTCAGGGAAACCATATGTGCCTACAGGGAAAGAACACAATAGAGGGGGAATTGCAGTTCATAAACTTCAGGACTTTACTCAGAGATGGACCTGTGTGGATCCACGATCTGTGTCTTGATCTTCTCTGAAGAAAATGAGAAAAAGAAAAAGTATGACTACACTTTATAATATGGATCATGACCCTCTGCCTTCACCTGAGTTTAAAGCTCGCTTCCTCCCAGGGCAAGGAGAGAAGTCTCAGCTGCTGACTCTTAGAAAACTCCCTGAAACATCTGCTAAATTTTCCGGAAAGTATCTTATTGGATAACGGACCACAAAGTGGGGTTCATGCCCTCTAGGAGAGGTGCAACCTGATCTAACAGGTAAGGAGGAAAGCTTCAAAACTTATATTTATATTGATTTTTTATTTAAAAGAAAAGATGAACTAAATATTGGTAATATGTAGTGTCCAAACTGAGGCTCACTCTCTCCCCGAGTCCACATCAGAGGATCCCTTATCACGTGCAGCTCGGGTGGCAGGAGAACAGGTCCCACCATACAGAAGGCTCAACAGTGGCACCCTATTCTTCCCTGCACTTTCAGGTTTCGGAGAGGTTTGGCAGATTGCTGTGTATTTTGTTTTGTTTTGTTTTTTTGTATGATCTAGTTTTAATTAAACTAACCTCCCCAAATGGACAAGTGACCTAAAAATATTCCCACAGAACAAAACAGAGCAAAACAAAACCCCACAGATTATAGATGATACTAAAATTGCAAGCCCAAGAGAACAATATGAATATAACAAAAAAGACAATTCCCTCATTCCTAGTATAGGCACTAATCAGACATGACACATTCAGTCACATTATAATTATAATAAAGTTTTTCTGATGACAAAAGGGCTTATAGTCAATAAAATATATAACATGTTGTTTTAAAATTGTTATTTTACTCTTTTATCTTTTTTAAAATTCTGTATTTTAGCATGTTTTCTCCCTTGTTTATGAACTCTGTATAATACCCACCCACATTCAACAATTAGCATTCCCTAGACATTGTTCTTGCTCTCCAGTGTGAGACATACACATATTTGTTTGTTTTGTTTTATTTTGTTGAATTCTGGAAAGTAAGGTACAAATATCCTGACCTTTCACTCCTATTTCAGTGTGTTTCCTAAGAACACGGACACTCTTCTGCACAACCCCAATTCCATTATCACACCTACTGAAATTAACAATAATTCATTAATAGAATCTAATATGTAATCATATTTCCCACATTTTCCAAAAAAATGTAATTTATTACCTTTTTTTAAAAAAATCCAGGATCAAATTATGGTATATACATTGCATTGGGTTGTTATATTTTGTTTTTCTGGTGTCGTTGAGATATAATTGACACATAACATTGTATAAGTTTAAGAGGCATAACATAATGATTTGCTGTATGTATATATTGTGAAAAGGATTACTTATTATACCTCTTTAATCTCCTTTGAGGTATAACAATAACTCCCCTATATTCTTCTAAAAAATGATGTGGACTGTTTTGATGACTCTAAGCCAGTTATCTTGTAGAATGTGCCAGAACTGGATTTGTCTGATTGTTTCTTCATATATAGATTCAGATTAAAAATTTGGAGCAAGACAACTGCATTGGCAATGTTGTGTTTATCCCATTGCATTATATCAGGAGGCACATGATCTCAGATGGTCCCATTATTGGTGATGCTAAATTAAATCAGGGCCAAATTATGAATTTCATGGGCCCTTGGTATTTTTACCTTTATAGGACCCTTTCTCCGCAAAAAAAAAAATTAAGAATTCTATTTTATAATTATTTCAGCATAAAGATAAATATAATCCAAGATGCATTGTATTCATTTTTTTCTTCTGGTTTTTAAAAGAAATTAAAACACTTTTCTAA